CCGCATGGAATTATAAATGTAACCTTTGTGAAAAGGGAAATTGAAATATCCAAGGAAATATTGACACCCTTAACAGCAACAAAAATAGGACATCTACGATAAACTAAAGGATATAACTACCACGCACTTGTTTATCGTTGCTTGGAAATCATCCATGAACAATAACAGACTATCATCATTGTCTTGTCCGTGTATTGTTTAATATATATATATATATATATATATATATATATATATATATATAATATATTACAAAGGACAAAGTCTTAATTTTTAAAGACATTTTTATGTTTAACTTTTTTTTTTATAAATAGTATTTAAGTAATGTTCTGTTTATAAAAACAATGAGAAATTTGCATTTGAATGTTGTTAGAAAATATATATCCTGTCAAAGGACGAATATTTTCTATGAAAATTTCTTCTACATTCAGGCCGGTAAATGTTATTTAATACAGTTTATTATAAACAGAGCATTTACTTAAATACTTGTATCTATAAAAAGAACGTTAAACATAAAATGTATTTAATAAATATATATATACATATATATATATATATATATACATGTAAACAGAAGCAGACTATCACCACTGTCTTGTCCGTGTATTGTTTAATATATATATATATATATATATATATATATATATATATATATATATATATATGTAAACAGAAGCAGACTATCATCACTGTTTTGGCCGTATATTGCTTAATATATTGTAATGTAATTGTCATCTTGGATAATGGCTTATGTAAGCCGAAAGCTTAGATTGGATTAAAATAAATATGTATCAATATTGTGATTTTCTTTCTTCGTTTAATGATAATGTTATTAAGCTTATCAGACGAAATGAAAAGAATTTACATAAAATAAATAGACAACACTTGTCTATATTATTTAATGAAACATGTATGAATATATATATATATATATATATATATATATATATATATATATATATATATGTAAAAATATTTTCAGAATTAACCTGTAGAAAAAAAACAATATTTATTAAGGAAAAAGCCAATAGGAAAACTGTTGTTTAACCAACGCGTTTTGTCCAATGTTGATTTTTTACCAAGCAAAAAAAGGAAATGAATTCATTGTATTTTTTGCCTGTTTTCCTGATCATTGTTATTTTATGTGTGCGGTTTGTGTGTAGTTGTGTTTGTCTTTACACATGTCCGTTTATTTTGATTTCGATGCACAAGAAAGCCCCCCCTCCCCCGCGTTCTCAGAGACTAACCTAAGCTTATTTTGCAAAGAAAACTAGCAGTTTTCAGATTATGAGAGTATCGCAATTGTCTCCTCATTTATAATCATGTACAAAAAAAAAAAAAAAAAAAAATGAATGCATATAGGCAAACATGGCAGAATGAGACCTCGGAGAAAACATCTGCGGTTTTTCGCTTCGACTTTTCATTGTTAAATTAAATATTCTGTCTTTCCTGGAAATCATTAAATAAATATAAATAGGGAAAAAGAAAGAAAGAAAGCAATGAAAGCAAAGAAAATGGCTGGGAACAAACCGCTCCCGCCAGAACACCGTTTCTCAAGCTGATATTGACAACACTTGACACTTATGTGAAATAACTTATAATGTTTGGACCATAAAATCAGCCTTGTAAATCATTCCAATATTGATAGATCGATTTCCTTGTTCATGCGTCACTATATATACGTATTGATAAATCGATATGTAAGCTGATACGTGTCTATAAATATTATAAGATTTTTCAGTGCAAAATGTCTAACAAACCTATCTGTCACTCTTCACGTGTATGGCATGTTTATTCTCATTCTTTCAGGAGTTCGGATCTAAAATATGTCGTCGAACGAAATATTATAAACTTTAAAAAATAAAAAACAGTTCTAAATATTCATTTCACTCCAAGCAAGGCAATAAAGCCGCTAAGACGCAAAGAGATGGGAGTACTGTTGATTTCAATCTTGGTTATTGTTATACCGGAACATACCTATTCTATTGTTAATAGACTCTCCCACTTATAATAAGAAGTAGTTGTAGCAGCCGCCAGTGAGCTCAGTGAGTTGGTCTGATTTCAGTCTGAAGTCGGACGACCGGCTGACCGGTTGAACTCTTGCCTTCGGGCGGAGAGGAACCCGAATGAGGTTACGCCGAAGGGCGGAGTCTCTTTCGGGGAGGTAAACCGACCCTGAACCCGTTTATACGTGTTCAAAGGGCATATTTTTGGCCGAGCCCACGGGCTCGGAGATCCCACGTTAAACAGGCCTTGTGCCACATGATGCCATCATGGGGGGGGGCTAAATACCGCTCAGTGAGTTAGTGAGTCAGTCGATGTCGGACATTAAAGTATCAACCACCACAACTAGATTGCTGCGTCATTCACTATTATTTCAAGTTCCTAACGTTTTGTACGTCGAACCCTTTTAGGACCGACTTAGTGAAAATACAAGCCTCCACTGTGAAAACTATTCTACAACAGTTGTAATCATTATTTATTGTCACAAAATATGTCAATTTTAGCACGTGACTGAAGGGGAAGTAAGGTAAGGGTGTGTCATCATTAACTATCCTAGACCTAGCGAACCAGATTCACGGCCAATTCATCCAGTACAATTTGCTCATTCACCACAACAACGCATCCATCACTATTCAATCCTACATACACCACGATACCACATATTCACAGTGAACAAAACGCCCCATGGCATAAAAATTTCATTTAGTTAAAAAGTTCAAAGGTCGATTTTTTCAGCTTTTCTTTTTTGAAATATAAAAATATATGATCATGAAATGAGTCTGGAGGAGGCGAACCCACAAAATGGAACTAAAATATGACACTTGTTCCACCCTGTTATAGGCAGAAACACACAAATACATAATGGGATTTTTTTTTCCTAGCCAATAAAATAGACCGGTTCTTGGTTGTATATGTCGCAGCCCCGATCCGTCTTGTGTTGAAGTCGGACTGCTACGTTGGCGAGTTCGAATTTGTTTTTGTTGCGTCGACGCTAATCCTTTGTGAACTTTTTGCTTTATTATTATTGATTTGCCTTATTACTGCTCTTTCTTTTAACAAAACTGTCCTTTTTTGGACAGTAAAAGATCATTGCTCTCCACTTCCCTAATTTTCCCTTGGAGCTCGCAACAAGTATCTTCCCTTTACCATATATAGACCACATTCTGTCATCCACTAGTCAAGGTATGTCATGCGTTGTTTTCCCATTGTCCTTCTTTTCCTAAAATTCGACACGTGGCTATCTGATTCTCCATGATTCAAACCCTCTTTCCTCATTATGCGTTCCCAGGAAAGTCATTCAGCCTCTTCCTGCTGTTAAGTCTAAGCCTTATCCTTGTTTGTGACCTTTCTTTCCACATCGGTTCTCACATTCTCGGTCCATGATATCCTTAGCATCCTTCAAAGAACCATATTTTTGCCTCGAGTCTAAATCTTCATCTTGGAGGAATCGTCCCAACATTCTCTGCTGTAAAATGGAAGTATTCTTTTTATTTGTTAACAAAGATATCCTCCTAAATTTAATACAGAAAAAGCTTTTAATCCACCATCCATCAAGACGTCTTCGGATCTCAAGTCGGACTTACGGTCCTTTGTCAGAACACTTCCCAGATATTTAAATTTAAGATGCTTGATTTTAGTGTCCCTGACCTATTTTGTTATTTCGGGCTCTTCCTCTACTTAATTTGACCATGCATTCTGTCTTTTTTTAGTTTTTGCTTTTCCTTTAAGATTCGCTCCTGGAATTGTTCTGTAGGGGGACATGTAGTTTCTTTCCGTGTTTATCAATATCAGTACTGTGTCATCTGTGTCATCTTTTGCTTTATTAAGTCTGTTTATTTTTCTCCTTTATATTCCTTCCGCAGCTGCGAAAAAGGCATATAAAGAAGACGACACAACCCCTTTAAAAGGCTTCAAGAACACCAGAAAGCTAAAACACGAGGGGAAGTAGATAAATCAGGCGTGGCTGATCATTCATATAGAGAGAAGGGAGATCACCGCCTCTGTGGGATCATGTTGAGATCATAGACAAGGAACACCATTGGAAAATTCGTAAACTTAAAAATTAAAACATATGCTAGGCCACAAAAATTCCTGAGCCGACCAAGCATAAAAATAAATACAATATGGGAACCAGTAATATGGGAGTGCCAGAGAAAATTTGATAACAAATAATGTTAAATATGAGCTCTGGTAAAAACATGGAATGATAACAGCAAAAATTGCAACATGAGCACTGGTAAAAATGGTTGCTTTTTAGACATTAGGTTTATAATACCCAGAAATTCATACCTTTTTTGTCCTCAAGGACACATGGCAAAAGTGGATAAAGGCGTTGATAGATCAAAGTGACAGGACCCAAAGAGTTGAGTTCAATACCCGGTTAAGGCAGTGGAGAACTTTCAGAGGGAAATTAGCAGGAGATAACTGATAACTGACATCCATTAAACGTGGAACTAGAACAGTCTACCCTAGTGAGCGATATAAAGGGTTCAGATCGAAATTCCAACCACCTGAAGAAGGCCGGAGTGTACAACGGCCGAAACGTTGTGATAAATATGGCGACAAATAGTCCGAATAATGTAAATAATGTTTGCTTTATTACTGTTAATTTGCCTTGCATATATTGCTTGCTTGCTTTGTATTATTTTTTACCATCTTCCTTTTTCATTATATCGCAAACATTGTTAATTCTCATTTGTTGAGCAGCGCTGTTATTTATTTTTGCACTTGACTACGGCTATTCCTTCCACGGGTACTGACTGTGAAATAATCTGAGGAAATAATGCTATATTAAGGAAAAAACGGAGAACAAACAATAAGAAAGATGACGATTGGCATAGCATTTAATTTTGTGAGGATCAAAGGTATCTGGAAAGCAAGAATTCGGAAGAGAGTTCTAAATGCAGGACGTGCAAGAAAAGAAACTGTTAGGATATAGTCAATGAATGTTTCATATATCCATTGGAATAGCTATATGTAACTTATGGTTACAGTAAGCCAATTGTAGAATGATGAGACCTAGCCGCCAATCTAGTACTGCGCTTCAGTTAATAAAGTCTATATAAGAGAGAGAATGTTCATCAGTATAGTTAGCAGAAAGTTTTATAGAAAAGCTAGATTACGGCAGTAGGAAAATAACTAAAGCCAGAACAGAAAGTTAGCATTGGAGATTCAACAGCATTTCATTAAGATTTCTCTCTCTTTCTCTCTATATATATATATATATATATTTGTATATATATTATATTTAAGATTTTTTCATTTTTAACGTTCTTTTTTAGAGATACAAGTATTTCAGTAAATGCTCTGTTTATAATAAACAGTATTAAACAACATTTACCGGCTTGAATGTCCGAGAAATTGTCATAGAAAATATTCGTCCTTTGACAGGATTCGAACCTGCATCCTATACGGAACCGTCATTTACGCTGACGTGCCTAAGCTCTCAGCCACAAAGGAACGTTCGGTAGGCAAGGTCGAATTTACTGCATATAAACTTCTATCTTCCATGAATCTCGTACATTCATAACTGCTCATGGCGTATCAAATGTAAACAAATGACGTCATATATTAAGAAATGGGCAAAGTCCGACAATTTATTTATTAAAGACATTTTTATGTTTATATAAAAAAAAGCACGTTAAACATATAATAATATAAAACATATATAATAAATAAATTGTCGGACTTTTTGTCCATTTCTTATTATATATATATATATATATATATATATATATATATATATATATATATATATATATTTAATATGTATATATAAATAAAAAAAAGAACAGTAAGATATATAATCTGGTGTTCTTATAGATATTTTTTTTTTACAAAATAGTGCTCAATGTACCATTTCAGAAATTAATATTATAAATTAATTGATTTAAAATATTTTTTTTTCATTACGCAAACTCTATCCATGTTTCAAAAAATATAAGATAAAAATAAAGGATTTAATTTTGTGATTAAATTAAAGCATTAGTTCCATTTTCATCTTCAAGCCAAATTTTTGATAAATAAAATGTAAAATCCTTTGTCCAATTGAAGTAGAATATTCTGTAACCATGGAAACGTGATTTTAGCTGTGTTTTTTAAAACCAGTAATTTTTAAAAAGTTACTGGAATTCGCTTGAAGATGAAATGGAATATAATGCTTTTAATTTAATTGCAAAAATTAATTTCGGGGCTTTTAGTTCTATTTTTGAAACATGGTTAAAAACTGTGTAGCGGAAAAAAATCTATTTTAAATCAATTAATTTATAAAATATATATATATATATATATATATATATATATATATATATATATATATATATTCGTATACACTGTTCTGGTGAGCTTTCCTTTTGGCACCATAACATCTACCACTGCTGTGTTGTATATCCCGTTGGGGATTTTCATGCTATGCTGAAATTTCTTCGTCCCCAAAGCTAATTCCTTCTATCGAAATCGCAAAATGTAGCTTTGAGTTCTCTTCTAATGCTTCTGGCTTGCAGAACTCTTTTACGGCTTCTTGGTTTCTCTGTCAACCATGATCTTGAAAAAGGTAAATGAAACGTCATCTTCTGTCTCTTTGAATCTTGTTCTTTTTCTTTTCTTTTTTTTTTTGCCTTTTTTTTTCGCAACCTGTTTTATTGTTTTTCTTTCTGAGTAACTCTTTGCTTTATTACCTTTTTGGAGTGAAATAAGAAAAGTAAAATCCTTTGTAACCATCATAATTATAAGCACTGTAACTAGCTTTCATCACTTCCATTTAGTCAACTGCTTCATTGAAACTGTTATCGTCCTCTACATTCACTGACCCGATAAACGGTAGTCAATCTCACTATCACCAACATTAAGGTGAAGGTTTGAAAAAATATAGTTACATTTATATATACTGAACGGCACAGTTCGTTCCTATCAATGCGAGCTATACAAATAATACAATTCTCAGTAGCTCTTTAACGTAGATAATTTAAATTCTATAATATTATTGTGCCATAGTCTATATAAGTAAAATGTTGGTGACAGGACAGGCAAATTTATGAATTAAAACGTATGCAGTTATAACAACTAAACGCCAGCACTTTCGGGTTTAAATTATTTAAAATATTGTCATGGGTCCTTACCTATAACTACAGAATGAACTCTTCCTAACACTATGTATACTACGCCTCTCAAGAGAAAGGGTCGAGTCGAGTCGAGCTTCTCTTCCTTTGAGCAGAGAGGAACCCGGACGAGGCTCCGCCGAAGGGTACAGTCTCGTCCGGGGAGGTTGACCAATCCGATCCCGTTTATACGGGTTCTACGGGGATTGCATTTTTTGGCCGAGCCTACGGGCTCGGAAAACCCACGTAAAACTCGGCCTCGTGCCACATCTTTCCCTCGTGGGGGGGGGGGGGGCAAGTAAATATCGAATCGAGTCGAGCCGATAGTAGTTCACTCCAAACCAGACTGACAGTCATACTAACACCTTCCACATCTTGTATTATTATTTCGTGTAATATACCTTCGTTATTTCTACTCTTGTCTTCGTGTTGTTCTTCCTTGGTCCTAAACTGGACCATAACACTAAGTCACTTTAATATCTATCTATCTATCTATCTATCTATCTATCTATCTGCCATGGGTCCTTAACTATAACTAAGGAATGAACTTTTCCTAACACTATGTATACTACGCCTCTCAAGAGAGAGGGTCGAATCGAGTCGAGCCGATAGTAGTTCACTCCAAACCAGACTGACAGTCATACTAACACCTTCCACATCTTGTATTATTATTTCGAGTAATATACCTTCGTTATTTCTACTCTTGTGTTCGTCTTCTTCTTCCTTGGTCCTAACCTGGACCATAACAAATATGAAGCCCTATTTACAGTGGGTTGAATAAGTGATCGTACAGCAAACAAATGCTTGTTATTTTCACTTATTGCGAATGAAAACCTCAAATAACAATGTTATATATATATATGGAGGCATAGAATCCGAATCTGCAATTTAAAATTAGAAATTCATCGATAAGTGATAGTTATGCAATTTTTTATATTTCGAAAAGTGGAAAAATTTTGGTTGTACTTCAAAGTAGAAGATTCTAAACTGTTCTTGAATATTCCCAGTAACTCTATTGCAACATTCAGTTCAAAATTGGATCATTCTGCAGTCACTGTTCACTGATAACGGTTCTAATAATGGCCAGACGTAAGGAAATAACTTGTGCTAAAAAAAAGAGATAATTATTAAGCTATGGAACAATAGGAAAAGTTACAGAAACATCTCCAGTGACACGAACATACCTTTTTCAACAATTGGTTCATTTATTGCAAGCTTTAAAAGACGTAATACTGTTGAGAACAAAGGCAGAACCGGTTCTCCCAGGAAGATCTCTCCCAGATTACGAAGAAAGTTGATGCGACTGGGCCAAAATAGCCCAATGGCCATCAGACAAGACCTTCGGAATGATCTGAGTTTCTCAAGAGTCAACGTAACTAAGCAAATGATTAGTAATGAACTACGCAGAGACGGTAAGTCACGCTCCCAAAGAAAGAAACCACTCATTCTGAAAAGGCCTAGAGATGCCAGGTTGAAATTTGCGACAGAGAATAAAGATAAGGAAAATTTTATTATTTTGAAGAGTTTCTCTTTACAGATGAGATTTTAAAATTGAGTTGTTGAGTCGCAATTACCTGAATCATGTATGGAGGAAAACGGCGAAAATACGCACCCAAGAACACCAATCCAACTGTCAAATTTGGTTTAAATTTTCATTAACATTATTCGGACTATTGTCCTCATCTTTGTCGCCATATTTATTACAACGTTTCGGCCGTTGTACGCTTCGGCCTTCTTCAGGCGGTTGGAATGTCGAATTGAACCCAGACGTACTCAAGGACACATGGCACGGTGGATAAAGGCGTTGGTTAGATCCAGTGACAGGATCCAAAGTGTTGTGAGTTCAATACCTGGTTAAGGCAATGGAGAACTTTTCATAGGGAAATTAACAGGAGATAACAGATAATCTGACATCCATTAAACATGGCACGTGAACTAGAACAGTTTTGAAAAATAGCGAAATAAAAGGTTCAGTTCGACATTCCAAAAGCTTTTAGAAGGCCGGAGCATTACAACGGCCGAAACGTTGTAATAAATATGGCGACAATGAGGGCAATAGTCCGAATAATGTAAATAATGTACATAATACCTCATCTCAGAAATATAGACAGATACTGAAGGGCCGAAACGTTGTAATAAATATAGCGACATAGATGAGGACAATAGTTCGAATAATGTAAATAGTGTACATAATACCTCATCACAGAAATATAGACAGACCCTTGGTGGGGGTAGTGTCATGGTTTGGGACTGCTTTTCGATGTGAGGTGTTGGCAAACTAGCAATTATAGATGGTAGAATTAATGCAGAAAAATATCAACAAATCCTAAGCGAAAATTTATCGCTTTCTGTAGAGAATCTTGGGCTTCTTCCTGATTGGATCTTCCAGCAGGACAATGATCCCAAGCCTACTTTTATACGAAGAATTGGCTTGGATTATTAATAAGAACGTTAACATCTTACAATGGCCCAGTCAGTCGCCGGATTTGAATCCAATAGAGAATTTATGGCGATTTTTGAAAAATAAGATCCGTGATAGAGGTCCAACAAACATCAAAAACCTGAAGACAATTACTCAGGAAGAATGGGAGAAAAGTCCTACTGTTGGGGCGCACCCACCTTCTGATCCGAATGGACTGATCTCTCTACTATTAATAGGACAGTTCTATAGAGTTCTGGGAAGATCAGGTGACCATCACACTTCCGTCTCTCTACCGGAAGATACAGTTGGACTTTATACTCTTTCTGACTGTTACTGACTAACCTGCGTTCGTTTGACTACTAATCTCTCTTCAGATATACCAGTATTTTTCCCTACGTATGTGTTTGTTCTTATTTCAATACACGCAGGGGGAAACACTCAACATCTCACCAACTAAAGTATGCGAATCGTTAATTAAAGACTACAGGAAGAGATTGGTTGCTGTTGAACTTAATAAATGCTTTGCTACAAAATATTAAATGGCGAAAACACGTTTTCTTCCTGCTGTACGTTCATTTTTTAAACCTCTAAAAATTTAAATATTGCTATATTTTCTTAACTATGGAATATTATTTAGTTTTATATGCATAAATTTTTAGTATGCAATCTGATACAGTAGATATATTACCGTTTTGTTAATTTAATATGTTACAAATAAAAATATGAAATATTTTCATCTGTACGATCAATTATTCAGACTGTTATCCTCATCATTATTGCCATGTTCACGACATTTTGGCCGTTGTACACTCCGGGCTTCTTCAGAAATTTTGAACTGAAACCTTTCATCCACTGGGGTAGATTGTTCTAGTTTTACGGTTCATATCTTACTGTGCTGTCGTATTCACGACATTTCGATCGTGATACGCTCGGGTCTTCTTCAGGATACATTTTCTCTCAATCAACAAGTTTCTTTGAACTCATCTTACACCGAAATTCAGCCTACAACACCTTCTTATCGAATAACATTATTTCTATTGAAACTATTATTTCTTGAACTGAAATCTTTTTTTTTCTGTGAGTCCAGATAAAATATATATATATATTCTCTAAAGTCTTGTTTAATTCAAATAACAGTTAATGGTAAATGACTCCTGCTGTATTTAAACATCGAACTTTCAACTTTAGATAATGTCACAAATTGTTTAATTAATTTAAGCAGATTTATTAATTACAGATTCTGTATGACTTTCAAACAAAAGTGAACATTCTTCACAGGAACACATTTCACCTGTCAAAAGAACATTTCCATGTAATAAATACATACTTCAACTAAATCTCTCACTGAATTACAATCTTTACAAAAGTTGTTATGCATATATAAATTCCATTTACTTATTCGACTTCAACTGTAAAAAGAATATTTCCAAGGAACAAATACATACTTCAACTAAATCTCTCACTGAATTACAATCTTTACAAAAGTTGTTATGCATATATAAATTCCATTTACTTATTCGACTTCAACTGTAAAAAGAACATTTCCAAGTTACAAATACATACTTCAACTAAATCCATTTACTTAAGATATTTCTCCTGTTGAATGTTATTTTTCTTGTTTGCCTATTTCTTGTTAACACATTTGTAAAGTAAAAATACTACGAATCAAATCGAGGCCGTTTGACACGTTACATATACACTCAAATAGAAAAATGGCCAATGCTTATCTACAGACGTACGTAAAATCTCGATTAATGCGTACCAATAAAATATAGTATAAATATGAAAAATGTTTACAGCCAGGCTCAGTTTTAAACCCGAGTAATAATTGCATATGGACTCTAGTATCTACACAAACAATGTTCACCTTTAATTTCAAATTCAATCCCGAGTAATATTTACCTGTTGACTCTGGTATGTACGCAAAGTTTGCCGCTTGAATCAATTGTAAACGCAAGTAATGTTTGCCTGTAGACAATTATAAACACGACACATCTTTATCTATAGTCTGAAGTATAAAACAGAACAAGTTTTACCTATTGTTATGAATAATCAAGGGTGGTCTCCCTTTGTTTTGTTAATCTTCTCTTTCAGAGATCTATTTCTTTTTACTGGGACTATAAAAGGAAACTATACGCGAACCTTGTATAATCAGTTGAATAAAGTTTTCTTAAAGTCTACACCTGCATACTTTGTCATTCTAGGATTGGGAAATCGGAAAGCCGAGTTCGAATTCCAGTACATTCACTTACGTGCTAATACCCTTGGGAAAGGTATTAATACTCTTCTCTCTCCCCCCGCCCAGCTATGGGTAAATAGCAAGCAGAACAGACCGGGTTCTGCAAGCCTTGGATTGAAACTGATCTACGGCAAAAATAAATGGCAACCGACTGCGGGAAAAAGAACTGCCTCGTCAGTCATGTATCGAAAGATATATGATCGTCTAAGCATGTATCGCGCATGGCACATAACTGAGTCACCTGTATATACCCAACTATAACCACGACAAGTATCTACCGACACACGTGTATATACATGATCGATGTTTGTCGATATACTTAATTATAAATTCGACTAATGTTTACTTATAAACTCAACTGTAAGCACAACGTATACTTACTTATATAATCATGTATAAACACAATCAATATTTAATTACAGATTCAAGTATAAACTTGGCAGATGTTTGCCTAAAGACTCACGTGTAATATAAATAAATGGTTTTGATATTGACTTATTCATCGAGGTTATATATATATATATATATATCCCACAATGCACCAAACCAGGTAACCTTCACGATCAATCCCTCACTTCCAGTAAGAGTTGAAATTACTCCGCTGGGGGTTTTGGGTTTCCCGTTTGAGAATCAAAGATTTATGCCACTTCAATGTCTGTTCCGAATGTCTGCGACATTTGACAAGCTAATTTCGCCAGCCGTTTGTTAGTGCAGTAGATAGTTTACCTCGGGCATTTATATCTCATCCTTATAATCAGCACACCCTAGACCAGATGCAAAACGTCTGACCGTAAAATTAGAATTTACTAGAAAAAAAAAATCATTTGGTATTCGCTGTGTGCATCTTTCAAAATATTTGA